AGATTCTAAAAGAGAGAGAGGAGGAATTCTGAGGGACTTCCCTGGTGGTCTGGTGGTTAAGAGTCCATGCAGGGGGCATGCATTCAATCCCTGATTGGGGAAGTCCCACGTGTCAACACAGGGCAGCCAAAAAGGAAAGAAAAAAAAGAGTAAGGATCCTGGGGCCAGGCTGTCTGGGTTCAAATCTCTGACTTGGTCGCTTTCAAGCTGGTTACCCTGGGGCGAGGGACTTAACTTCTGTGTCTCAGTTTTCCCAGATGCAGTATGCGGATTAAGTCAGTGTGTAAGAAGTGTTTAAACCAAGGATCAGCTCGATTTTTCTACAAACATCTAGATAATAAATGTCTTCAGCACCGTAGGCCAGATACGTTCTTCGTCAGTTACTCAAATGTAGAATTGTAGCTGGAAATTGGCCATAGATAATACATAAACAAATGGGCATGGGTGTGTGCCAACAAAATTTTATTTATAAAACATGCTGTGGTCCAGATTCAGGCCTCTTGTTGCAGTTTGCCAGCCCCTAGTTCAGAAGAATGCCTGGCACATGGTTAGCCCAATATAGGTAGTTTGTTTAGTAAATGGACAATCTAGAATATCCTGCAGTCAATTTTTCACACATGATCTTAGCCAAAAGGCCAAGAAGTGATGCTGTAGTCATTTTTTTTTAAAGAATGGGAACACTGTATGAATTGATTTGGAAAGACAACCAAGGTGATGATTAAAGTGATGAAAGCAGGGTATACAGATATTATGTTCTGTCTTTCACAGAAAGAGAGGAGTGTAGTTAATAAGAACCTAAATTTCTATGTGCATAAGAATTCTGTAAGGATATACAGTCAGCTTAAAAAAAGTAGTTACTTACTTGGGTATCTGAGGAAGACGGCCAGAGGTTATATTTTTCTCTGCACAGTTTTTATGTGTTTTGAACTTTGAACGATACACACATATTATTTAACTAAAGAATCAAATATTTTAAAGATTCTACCAGGCTGTCTGTCCCCCAGCACAGGGTTTCTCAAAGTCAGCCCTGTTGACTTTGGGTGCATGCATGTTCAGGCTTGTCCAACTCTTTGAGACCCCATGAGCTGTAGCCCACCAGGCTACTATGTCCATGGAGTTTTCCAGGCAAGAATTCTGGAGTAGGTTGCCATTTCCTCCTCCAGTGGATCTTCCCAACCCAGGGATGGAACCCACATCTCCTGTACTGGCAGGCGGATTCTTTACCACTGCCCCACCTAGGAATCCCACTGTTGACACTGGGGCTGGATAATTCTCTGTTGTATGTGAAATTGTCAGATGTTGCGCAGCATCCCAGTCTCTATCCACGGGATAACAGTAGCAGCTCCCAGAAGTGACAACCCAGACTGACCCTGCCAAAGGTCCCCTGCTGGGGAGGCAAAACCATCCCACTTGAGAAACACCACCCTAACCCAAATTCCTACAAGCTATGCTATGTTACCAACCCTCCCATTTTCCCTCCTCTTTCTTAAGAAGATGTTTAGCGAGAGTTTATCGTGGATTTGATCCCTGGGTCGGGAAGATCCCCTGGAGGAGGGCATGGCAACCCACCCCAGTATTCTTTCCTGGAGAATCCCATGGACAGAGAAGCCTGGTGGGTTACAGTCCATGGGGTCACACAGTCAGACCCAACTGAAGCGACTGAGCCCAGCACAGCACGTCAGGTGTCGACACTACACTGAGCAGTACTGAAATGTTACAACAGTCCTCCCCTCAAAGGTGCCATTTTTAGCCACAGTTCACAGATGGGGAAACTGAGGTTCTGAGAGGTGAAACCAGGAAGTGGTGCAGCCAGGATCTGAGCCCAGATCTGGCGCTTCCGAGCCACCACCACCACCTCCAGCATCAGCCCACCCCTCCTGTTCTAACCCTCCTGCCCTCTCCCTTCCCTGCCTCTACTGATGGTGCCAGGATTTATTGGCTGGGGACAGAAACACAGAGAAGTTAAATAACATGCCTAAGGTCACACAGCGGAGGAACTGAAAAAAAAGATTCATCATCTTGGCTCCAGTGACCACTCCCATTCCCAGTATAATCAGCTCCCCAGTCCTGGTAGGATCTTTCCCACAATGACAGTCACATTCATCTCTTCCTCTCCACTTCCTCAGTTTTAAAGTTTCATGTCTGCCACCCAAAATTTGGGCTCCCAAAGACAGCAAAGAGTGTCTGGTCACCTCTGTGGCCATCTGTGATGACATCGTCCTCTCTCTGGGTCTCAGATCTCAGAGGGACCATACAGCATGGAGACCACTTTAATCTGAACTCACCCATGAACTATGTCCACACAGTCAGCCCATTTACTGCCCCGCGGCACAACTATGTGGCCACTGACCTGCTCCCACCTTGGGGCCTTTGCCAGGACCTCTGTTTCCTTAGACTCACCCAGCTCTTCCCTCACTTTGCCCAGGTCTCTGCTCAAATGTCTCCTCGTCAGGGAAGCCTCCCAGACCTCATATGTGAAAGTGCAGCCTCACACTCTCAAGCCCCGCTTTTTCCAGACCACCTACCGCTCCTGACAGTGTATATGTTGCCTTATTTGCCCACTGTCATTGTCTCCCATTAGAACACCAGCTCTCTGACAACAGGGTGTTTTTTTGGAGGGGCAGGGAGTACTTTAGTTATTTATTTTTTATCGTGCTGCACGGCATGTGGGATCTTAGTTCCCTGACCAGGGATCGAACTCATGTCCCCTGCAGTAGAAATGTGGAGTTTTAACCACTGGACCACCAGGGAACTCCTGACAACAGGGGTTTGTGTGTGTCTTTGTCCTACTATCTCAGCACCATGGATGAATGAATGAACGAATATGCTCTTCTCACTCTACCCAGGAAAGAGTGGCACAAAAGCAGAGGAGCTCTCAAGAGGAAATGAGAGAAACTGAGAAGCATTCTAATTCCAGACTCCACACCTTTATTTATGGTATTGTGTGTCCCCCACCCCATCCCACCCCCATCAGGAGCACTCCCTTTTCTCTCTCTGCCCTTCCAGACCTCACTGGCAGTTCATAGCCCTGGCTTAAATCTGCTGATGGACAGGAACTTGCAAACTTAAAGAGGCTGTTCTTGGGGCACCTCCCTTTGGTTTAAAATGACTACCTTTTGGCTTCCCGCGCATGGCCCCACTGTGAACAAGGCAGAGGACTGCGCTTTGAAAGGAGATAAAATGCATAGGGCAGGAAGGCCCAGAGCTCCCAAATAGAGAGGACCATGGAACACCCTTGCCCGATGCAGGGTCTGACACAGCTAGGCACCAAAGTCAGAGCAATAAGAAAACTCCTACTCACTCTTCAAAACCCAGCAAACATGTCCCCTCTTGCATTAAGCCCAACTCCCCCAGGCAATGTTTTGCCTTTGCTCCAGCGCCCTCAGCCCAGAATTTTTTTCCCTCTGTCTCAGTCCTGACAACAACAGGGCTAGGGAATGTCTGTCTTCCCCATCCTGGGAACTCCTTGAGGGCCAGACTGAGACCTGGGTCCTCAGCATTGACCAGCACAGAAAATCAGGATTCATTAGTCCCTGTAGCTGCCTTCCTAGAGGTTAATGCCACACCTCACTGCCCTTTATCAGAAATCAGCCATAGGGAAGAGCAGGCAAGGATGGAAGTTCATCCTTAGGTCTAACCACTTTCCCATTAGCGGCTATTGAAGCCACACTGGGTCTCAACTGCCCACAGGTCAGAGGCCTGACTGATCCGAGGGCTACTTCCTTCTGTGTGCAAACACATGTAGGCATAATTGGGATGTCCTGTGGCCACAACAGCTGGCCAGGGTGGGGGGATCTCTGGGGTTTCCTCATTCTTTCAGGAAGCCTGCCTCTGCTCAGGGAGGGTGACCACCCAGGTGATCTCCCACGCGTGGGCCTGTCACCCAGGAAACACCCCCAGGGACCCCTCCCTGATCACTTGCTGCTCTTCCCCCCATCTGCACGTGGCAACTCAACCCAGAAAAGAGGCAGTGCCCCAGGCCAGCCCCCCATCTGTCCCCAGAAAGGGCCCCCCACCACCAGCCCACTGCAACTCCAGACAAGGCTTTCATCCTGGGGTGGGACCTGAGGGCTGGATGGCTAGTGTTGCCTCAGACCCCCAGGGCAGGCAGGGCACCCCCAACCACCAGCCATCAGCAGACATCACTTTTCATCCAGCACTCAAGAGGCCAGAGGGAACCAGAGAAGGTACAACAGAGAGAGAATCCAGTCCAGTGACCTCCCCCACCCAACCGCATTCAAATAGGGATTTGAATATATTTCCTGAACCAGAGAAGTTGAAGTCAAATCCACCACCCCCTGAACCCCAGGGCCCTTGCAGAAATCCCTACAGAGAAAAAGCAGCTATTTCTAGGTTCCCCCCAAACCCCAGGAACCCAGTCTCAGGGCTCTTTGGGACTGGGTCCTGCCTCAATGTACCTCTTGGGATGGGCAGAGCTAGGAAGAGCAGAGTCCCAGACGCACAGTCCCCCCACCCTCCCATGCTGCCCCAGGCCCCGGCAGGAAGCCGAGGGGAAGATGTGAGGGGAAGGAAGGGGCCCAGGGCCCAGGAGGAGGCGACGCATGTGGGGGAAGGAATAGGACGAGGCCCTTCCCCCATAGCCAGAATCTCAGGGGGTGGCGGGGTCAAGGGAGTCCAAAACCTCAGGTGCCCTATCAGCCACCCAGGAGATTCCGAGGGCCCCCTGCGGACCCCTAGCAAGTCTCTTTTGGGGTCTAGATCTCCAGCGGAGTCAGCCTGAGGTTTTGGACTTGGGTTAACCCCAAGTTTGCCAGTTTTCAACCTAGACGTGGGAATCCATTCCTGTTAACCTTGGGGGGGGCACCCCTGAATCTTCAGTGTTAGGACCCCCACATATCCCCCGTGCCAGGCCCAGAGTGGGAGCCAGCCTCCTCTCTTCACTGCTGGCCCAGAGGTGCGGTGCATCACCCTCCTGGGTACCAGCCTGGGGTGCCTCCCGCCACCCACCCTCCGGCAGACCCGCCCGTGGCCCGTCTCACCTGGGACATCTGGGGACGCAGGTTGACTTCCCGCAGGTTGATAGCGTGCGGCAGCAGGTTGTTGAGCAGCTGGCAGAGAAGGACGCCATCCCGGAGGGCCTGCGCCAGCTCGCACACCTGGGCCCCGTCCCAGGTCACACGGTGGCTGGGCGGCAGCACCCGGCACTGGATGAGCCAGTGGGTGCACTGGCGCCACAGCTCCATGGCCGCCGCCTCCCAGGCCGGTCCGCGCACCCTCGCGGCCTCCTCCGCCGCCCGCCCGCCTGCCTCTGCGAAAGCTAACAGCAGGGCATCTGGGCGTGGGGACAGGGTCATTAGGCGGAGGCCCGCTGCCTTCCTCTGCATGCAACCCAGGAGCGGTACCACCTCAGGAACATACTCAAAATCCACCCTCTTCTCACCCCTCCCTCCTTCACCTCCTTGCTTGGCCAGCCCTGCTCCTTGCTAACCTGGACCAGTCTCCTCCACCTCATCCCCAGGCTCCTGTTCTCACCCACCACATCTGTACCCCCGCCCCATCAGAGGGTGCCTATGAACACCCCAGTCAAGCCACTGTGTCCCACAGCCCCCCTCGTTAGGAGTAAAGTCCTGCCTGTACACCACAAGGCTCTTTCCTTATCTCTTCCACTCTCTCCTTCATTTGTTCTCTTCCAGTCAAACAGGGCCTTCTCAATGTTCCCCCAACCCACGAGGTCACCCCAAAATCTTGCCCTAGAGTCCTGCCACAGGGCCTTTGCATGTGCTGGCCCTCTGCCTTAGACAGCTCCATGGCCAGCTCCCTCATCTTCCACAAATCTTAGCTCCAGGCCACCTTCTCATGAAATCTTCCCAAACCTCTCCATTTCAAATCACAGTCTTTATTCCCCACCCCATCACACCCTGTCCCACTCCCTCCCCCCACATTAAGCCCTGATTACCAGTATTCTTGCCTGGAGAATTCATAGAGGCTCCTGGTGGGCTACAGTCTATGGATTACAAAGAGCTGGACACAACTGAGTGACTTTCACTCTTCACAACACTACTGTCCCAGAAACCTGATATTTTATTATGCTTACTTTTTTCATTGTGTATTTGGAAATTTGCGCCTATGTTAAAACCACTACCCCCAGCACCTGGCCCATATATGTATGTTCCACAAGTATTTGTTGAATGAATGAATGAATGAATAGTTCAAAGCTCTATTGGCTCTGTCTTTGACATCTATCCCATGGCTCTGGCCACCATCATCTTACAGATGTCCATAATGTCATTCATTCATTTAGCAAATATTTGCAATCCCGAAGAAAGGCCATGCCAAAGAATGCTCAAACTACCACGCAATTACACTCATCTCATATGCTAGTAAAGTAATGCTCAAAATTCTCCAAGCCAGGCTTCAACAGTACGTGAACCGTGATCTTCCAGATGTTCAAGCTGGATTTAGAAAAGGCAGAGGAATCAGAGAGCAAATTGCCAACATCCACTGGATAACTGAAAAAGCAAGAGAGTTCCAGAAAGACATCTACTTCGGTTTTATTGACTACGCCAAAGCCCTTGATTGTGTGGATCACAGAAAACTGTGGAAAAATCTTAAAGAGATGGGAATACCAGACCACCTGATCTGCCTCCTGAGAAATCTGTATGCAGGTGACGAAGTGACAGCTAGAACTGGACATGGAACAACAGACTGGTTCCAAATTGGGAAAGGAGTATGTCAAGTCTGTATATTGTCACCCTGCTTATTTAACTTATATGCAGAGTACATCATGAGAACTGCTGGGCTGGATGAAACACAAGCTGGAATCAAGATTGCCAGGAGAATTATCAATAACCTCAGATATGCAGNCCGACATGAATTTGAGTAAGCTCCAGTAGTTGGTGAGTGACAGGGAGGCCTGGTGTGCTGCAGTCCATGGGGTAGCTAAGAGTCGGACAAGACTGAGCGACTGAACTGAACTGCTGTCTTGTAGCCTTTATCATTACCTGAAATCATGTGGTCTACGAGATCTCTCTCCCCACCTCCACCACACTAGACTGGGAGTGTTCTCCTCAGCCCCCTCTATTTTACAAGCCCCCACCCCACCCCACCACTCCTGGGATTTTTAAATTATTGTAACCACCAGGGGGCGCTAGAAACCGTCATTGGATATAACCGAGCTGTGCATCAAAACCAGGCTGGTCAAGGAAAAGACACTCCTCAGCCTGTCCTGAGACAGGCTGTCTCTTCCACATTGGCAGGTGGGAAAGCCCAGCCTGGAAATTCCCAGATTTATGATTCTACAGACACCAAAACTTTCTTCCCCAGGCATCCGTGACTCTCTATGCGTCAATTTCCTCATCTGTAACATGAGTGACAGTAAACTTCACAGTTTAAAATACGGTAGGGATTAGAGATGGTGGGGCTGCAAAGATCAGAGGAAGACAGGATAGAGCTCCAGGGCTCCAGGCTTGAATCCCACCTCGGCCAATCACAAGTTGAGTCAACCTTGGGCAAACTTAGGCTTAGTTGCCCATGCCTCAGTTTCTGCATCTAGAAAATGGGGTGATGGAAAATAGGACCCATCTCATTGAGAGGTCTATGTAAAAATAGAATTGTGGAGGCAGGGCAAACAAGTATACAGTAAGCACTTAATGAATGTTAGCTGCAGCTACTGCTTTCAGTTCTGTTGCTATTACTAGGCACCCTCAAAAAACTTGGCCAGAGGGTCCTATTTCTGGTTCCAGATCCCCTACACACACATTCCTCACGCTTGTCTCCAGGCAACAGGATGGAAGCCCCTTTCCCCTCCTTCCCTCCACCTAGGAAACCACCTGAATATTTGCCCCCTACGTCCCGCCAGAGTCTAGATCAAGTCCAACGGTCTGTTACTGGGAAAGACTGTCGTGTTTTCCCGCATCTCTCTCCACAAACCCGACACCCAATGTGGGGTTCCTTCCGAGAAACCCAGGGGGGCAGTCTGGAGGAAGCACACTCTGCCACGTCACAGCCGCCACCACTCCCGGTCGTGAGAGACAGCCCGTAAGGGCCGCCCCGCCCCTGCCGGGAACAGAGGGGCTAGGAGACATCCCTTGCCCCGTCGCAAGGGGTCAGGGGCTCTTAGGACCAGCCTGTGGCCTTAAGCGGAAACAAGAGACAGGGCTCTAAGGGCGAGACTAAAAGAGGGGTGACTAGATGAGTGGGCGTGGTCAGTCTGAAGGGGTGGGGCAAGTTTAAGGGGGCGGGTCCACTAGTAGGAAAGAAAGGAGTTCCCCACGGAACGTGACCTACGGGAAGAAGGTTCATCCAAGGGGGCGTGGTTAGCGAAAAGAAAGTTTATAGAGGGCGGGACGATAACAAGGGGCGGGGCGAGAAGTTACAGTAGGAGAAAGGGCGGGGCCTGGAGGGGAGGGGTCCCACTTTAGTGGGCGGGACCAGGTGATGGCGCTTGGTTCCCTTCGGGCGCGGCAGGGGAAGGCTGGACCTGGCTGGGGCGGGGAGGGAGGGGTCGGGAGACGCAGAGCCTCAGGCTTCCGCCCGGCCCCAAGTTCTTGCGAGCTCCGCGGGTCCCGGCCCAGGTGAGTGAGGGGTCCCAAGCAGAGCCAGGACCGGGAGATTTGGTGGGGGTAGGGAGTTCTCTTTTCCAGGTGGGGCCACCTGCTCTCTGGAAGAATCTGGGTGTCTGTCCAGGCGCGTCCGCCAACGTAAAAAGGGTCACCTGATTGGGTCACTGCATCATGCGTGTCCGTGTACCTGGGCGTCCTCCTCCAAGCGTATTTTCTCTGCAACATGGACAGCTTCCCTGCTTCCATGCCTGAGCAATCTTTTTAAACCACAAACCAGATCATGCCCCTCTCTCACTTCATACCTCTCCGTTCCACCTCTTCCATCCCACCGAGACGAAATTCAAGGTCCGCTAGTTTCCTGCATCGTCTCTGCCTAACCTCACTGCTCTCCACTTCGCTCGTGGCTCACAGCATTGTCACACCTGCCTCCTTGACAACGTAAAACATAAAAAGCAAGCTCTGCACCTTTGCCCTCCCGGTATACCCCTCACCTATACTGCTCTTTCTTCACATCTTTGCTTAACTGTCCCCCACCCCCACCCCCCGTCACTGAGATCTCAGCTCCCATGTCACTTCGTGGGAGAGAGCCTTCTGACTACCTGTTCATATTTAAGGTAGCCTCCCCCGGCCAGCCTCTCTTTACATCTCCCTGTCTTCGTTGTTCACCCTTAGACATTATCTTCTTCATCCATCGTGCACTTATTTGTTTTGTGTGTCTCCTCCACCGGAGGGGCCTTGGTCTCATTCATCACTGTTTCTCCTTGGCACACAGTAACCATTCAACCAGTCAGTATTTTGCTCACGTTTGAGTCTCCGTGTCCACCTGTGTACCTGTCTTGTGCAAGTGGTTGCCCCCTGCAGGAGTATATGGTCGATAGAAAATGAATAATCCCCTCCCTTCTTTCCCCAAACTTGCCTCTCACCCACCTCCTCTCTTGATTTCTGCCCCCTTCCTCTCTCTCCTGCCCAGATACTCAGAAATTATTCCAAACAATGCAGGACAGGTGGATGACTTAATTGGCCTGTGGCAGTCCTGTGACCACTCTGAGCTCCCCCTGAACAAACCGGAGTCAGTGATGCACCTACACACCCTCTAAGGGGCATGTAAGACAGACAGAGGACGCTGGAGTCAGGGGACTCTTAAAACCAAGGCCAGGCCAGGCCAGGCCCAGCTGACAAACAGGAAGTGCACAGGTATCCAGGAGACACACCTGGTATTCAGGTATGTGGCGCCTGGAGCCAAAGCTCTGCTCTGCTCTCCCGCCCCTTAAGTCACCACAGACCAGTCTGGGAACTTGCTGGCCCTTTCAGGCCCTCAGCCCAGCTGACTCAGGTCCTAAAAATCCTCCTGCTATTTCCCTGCAGACCCTGCCAGGCCCAGAAGGCCCTGGGCGTAGGGGAGGCAAGACACTTTCCCCACGACCACCTCCCACTCCCTCTCCCCCTCTTCCCTCTCATCCAGAGCAGTTTTTTCACCAGATGCTTGAGAGACACTGGGGCCTGAGGCATGTGAGATGATCAAGGGGTCCTAGAGCGTCCGTGTCCTAAGTTTGATCACAGTAATAAGGAAGTGGATTGGCTCCAAAATATGAAAACCTGCAGATGTCTATTTGCTGTTTGCTGACCTGTCTACAAAAATGTGACCTTTTAATGGTCTTTTAAAATGGGTTTCCCCACTGGCTCAGTGGTAAAGAATTCACTTGTAACCTGGGATCTGGCTGGAGACGCAGTTTGATCCCTGGGTGGGGAAGATCCCCTGGAGGAGAAAATGGCAACCCACTCCAGTATTCTTGCCTGGAGAATCCCAATGACAAAGAAGACTGCCGGGCTACAGTCCAGGGGATCGCGAAGAGTCAGACACCACTGAGTGACTGAGCACAGAAAATGACCTTATTGGAAAGCCATGAATGGGTTAGATTTTTTTGTACAATCTAAGAATCCTTGAGTGTGCCTACAGATCACTGAGATACTATGGGTTTTAGGAAATTTAATTCTCCCCAGCCTGGAATTTATTTCACCCCAAGAACCACCTGGCTGGAGACTTCCCCAGTGCTCCGGTGGCTCTGCTCTCCCAATGCAGGAGGCCTGGGTTGCATCTCTGGTCAGGGAACTAGATCCCATGTGCCAGAACTAAGAGTTCTCATGCTGTAACTAAGACTCAATGGAGCCAAATAAATAAATTAAATTAAAAAAAAAAAGAATCACCTGACTTGGTCCCTTAAAATCCGCCCAAACTTTACCCACCCCCAAGACCTTCCCAGGTCACCCTATAGAAAAATCTTAACTCCACTGCTTCAATCTTCATATCCGATACCTGGTTTCATTTTTCCCCTTGGTTCTCTCTGATCTATTCTAGGCTTCCTTTTCTACTCACTTATTTTCCTAATCTCTGTCTTCTCAGCTGGAAGATGCCTAAGGGCAGGAATCTTGGTCTGTGTTGTTCACTGCTAGGTCTCTAGTGCCTGGAAGGGGCTCCAGGCAGAGTGGGTGCTCCATAAATATTCTTTTGAGTCAATTTGTTAATTATATTTCTACAAAACATAACACTATGTCATCTGCATTAAAATTTGCATCACATTTGAGATCATTGTCTTCTTCCTTTGCAAGAATCCCAGTGAATTTACATGACTTTTCATGAAATCACAGCCTATTCTAAATTAAAGTTAGGGACTTCCCTGGCGGTCTAGTGGTTAAGACTGCTCAATTCCAAAGTAGGGGGTGCCAGTTTAATCCCTGGTTGAAGAACTAAGACCCCAGATGCTGCATGGCACAACTGAAAATAAATTAATTAAAAATGATAAATTATTCATTTCATGCTTAGTTGCTCAGTCATGTCTGACTCATTGCAACCCTTTGGACTGTAGTCTTCCTGGCTCCTCCGTCAATGGGATTTTTCAGGCAAGAATGCTGGAATGGGTGGCCATTTCCTACTCCAGGGGATCTTCATGACCCAGGGATCGAACCCACGTCTCCTGTGTCACCTGCATTGCAGGTGGCTGCTTTACCCACTGAGCCATCCGGGAAGCCCCAAAGTTACTCATAGCTTGAATTTAACCTGATATATATATATCAAATATGACTCATATAATTTATAGTTAAAAATATATAATCTGACTATGGGTAACTTCTTTAACTTAATATAAATATATATTCACATATATTTTAAATATATTTATATTTAGAATATAAAATACACAAATGTTATATGTAAATATTTAAATACATTTATATATAATTATATAAGCATGCTGTATATTAAAATACTATATATATTTATACATATACAGACAGCATTGCATTTTATGACTTGATAAGATGTGCGCTGTTGTCTTCAAACTATGAGGAACATGAAAGGGCTGACCAAGCCATTCAGGAAGCAAGAATAATTATTCCCATTTTACAGATGAGGAAGACTGAGGCCTGTTGGACGTACAAAGCACAGCCCCCGCACCCTCTGCCCCCGAGCGCTCCATGCAGGTGCCACAAGATGGAGAGGACTTTGTGGGCCAACCCTGGTACCACGGCCCCCTGTCCCGCCAGGTAACCCCCACAGGACCGCGTGCCATCTGATGGGGAGTCTCACTCATCCTTGACTTACTGGGGACTCCTGGGCCCCAGATAAGGGTCTTAGGGTCAAGATCTATCAGAAAGAGTGGCTTGAGGGCTGAGGATTATTTTTGCAACTTGGTCTATGTGGGATGTCACTTCTTATCTTTAAATTATGGTGTTGAAGAAGGTGACAAGAGTTGAAAAGGGTACTAATGACTCCTCAAACCACCCTTTGGCCCTACTTGTCTCTGTGCCTCTCTCTGGATTCCAGGCCACCTGTGGCTGCCAGGGTCCCATCTCCCTCTCAATTCAAAGCACCTCACTCTCATCTCTAACTTAGGAGTCACCTTCAGGAGTCCCAGGACCTGAGACATCTAATCAAATCATGAGAGGCAGTGTAGCTTAATGGTGAAAATCCCATACTTTAGCCACAAGCAGCCTGAGTTCAAATCCTATTCCTACAACTTATATTGGATGTAAACTAGAGCAAGGTAGTTGATGTCTCTGGGCCTCTGTATCCCCATCTGTAAAATGGGCATAATAGTACCTACCTCTTATCCTTGCTAAAGGATGAAGTGAGCTCATACATTTTACACTTAAAACAGTGCCTGGCATATAATAAGGGCCATACAAGTGTCCTTTGCACATATTTTCCAGTTCCCAGCCTCCATCAGCAGCTCTGCTTTGCCCCTCTATGATGTTGTGGCCCTCAGGCCCTGTTTTCAGCCACCATAGCTGGCATGATAGTGCTCTATTTTTACAAAGGTAAATTTCAAGGCCATGATCTGTTTGGAAGAACCTAGCAAATGGCTTTTCTGAAAGCCACATTTGCATAACAAGCTCAGCACATGTCACTGGGTTGGAACTTGCATTAGTCAGCGTGGGCTAGTGGCTGTAACAAACATCCCCACACTGTCAACGACTCCATCAACATTTAAGGACTAGTTCATGCCACAGTCTAAGAGGATGCACAGCTTCAAAAGGAGTCAGACCCAAGCCCTTTCGGTCTTCTGCCTCCACTATCCCCCAGGGCTCTGCGGGCATCAACTGACAGATTCAGGACGAAACCTGTAGGATTCTGCTAGACTTACTTCATGGGCCAGGTCTGACCATTGCCCACAGCACTCCTCCCACATCCCATTGGTCAGATCTTGTCACACGACGGTTAACCGCAAGGGAGCCTGGGAAATGTAGTGCAGAAGTATGTCCACTAGACAAGAAGAAATTGTTTGGCTCAAAACTACCCAGTCTCTGGGGGTGGCCTTCCTTGGGTCTGGGGGAGGGGTTGGGAGTCTCCATTAATTACCAATACATACTCATGCATAAACCGCTTGCCCCCCAATCCTCCATCCCCAGAAGGCCGAGGACCTTCTCCAGCAAGATGGTGACTTCTTAGTTCGTGCGTCCAAGTCCCGTGGGGGCCACCCTGTGATCTCCTGCCGCTGGCGGGGCTCAGCCCTGCACTTCGAGGTGCTCCGTGTGGCCCTGAGGCCCCGGCCAGGCAGGCCCACAGCTCTCTTTCAGCTAGAGGATGAGCGTTTCCCCAGCCTGCCTGCCCTGGTTCGCAGCTATGTGATTGGCCAGCGTCCACTGTCGCAAGCCACAGGGGCTGTGGCCTCCAGGCCAGTGCCACGGCAAGGACCAATTCGACGCAGCTTTAGTGAGGACACCCTTCCAGACGGCCTGGCTCGCACAGAGCCGCTCAGGTATTCACAGGCTCTCTACATCCCAAAGACACCCAACACCCCCCCAGGGTTCTCCACCACTGTTCCTGTGTGTTCCAGTAGTGGACGGCTCTGTCCACTATTGACATTTGTAGCCAGATTATTCTTGGTTGGGGGAGGGGGCATTGTTTGCATTGCAGGCTGTTGAACAGCATCCCTGGTCTCTTATCTACTAGATGCCAGTAGAATGCTCTGCACTCCACCCCTTAGTTATGACAAGCAAAAATATATTTCCTGACATTGCCAAGTGTCCCCTGGGGTTAGCAAGCACCCTGGGGGATCCCCTGGTTCTGAGTGATGGGATGTAAGGTTTTCTGGGCATTGGTGGAGGCTATATGCTATCTAACTATCTGCTTGGAGTAGGACAACATATCTCCCTCATCTCTGTCCCCTAGGGATAGGAAGCGGAGTGATAGTCAGCCCGCAGGTTTGGAGCATCTGTGGCGGCCACCAGAAGACCCTCCTGGACCAGGTAAAGGTCCTGGACCAGGACAGGATATAGCTCAGAAATTCCTCTGCCATGCACTATCCAGGTGACACCGGGCAGGTGATAACCTGCTGGGAGAAAAGGATGATGATGCTCTCAGCATGGTCACAGTGACTAAAACACACACAGGAACTTTGTAGTTGCTTAAAAGTATGGGTTTACAATGATTCCAAGAAACCCTCCACGCTCTAACCATAGCTAACCTCTCCAATAATTCCATCCCTCATCCCGTCCTCTCTCTGGCCACACAGACTTCCTTTCAGGTGCTGGTTGTTGTTGTTGTTGTTCAGTCTGCTGGAACCTTGTACATTCGTTCCTGCCTCAGGGCCTTTGCACTTGCTGTTCTCATCACTGGAAAGCTCATTCCGTAACCTTTAACTGACTGTTTCTCATCTAACAGGAGTTCCTCAAAGCAGCCAACCCTGACCATCCTACATAAAAGAGGAGTTCCCCTTGTGCCCTGACTGCCCTGTTGTCTCCCATTCAACATGAGCCCTCACTGTGTGTGTCAGACACTATACTAAGTGCTGAGATACATGAATGAACAAGAAAGACAAAGATCCCTGCTCAAGTGGAGCCCACATCCTATTAGAGAATGAAGGACCATGAACAACAGAAGTGAGTCAATTTGTTATTGTTGTTCAGTTGCCAAGTTGTGTCCACTCTGTGATCCCATGGATGCAGCACACCAGGCTTTCCTGTCCTTCACTGTCTCCCAGAGTTTGCTCAAATTCTTGTCCATTGATTCAGTGATGCTCTCTAACCATCTCATCCTCTGTCTCCCCCTTCTTTTGCTTTCAATCTTTACCAGCACCAAAGTCTTTTCCAATGATTTGGCTCTTCCCATTAGGTGGCCAAAGCATTGGAGCTTCAGCTTTAGCATCAGTCCTTCCAATGATTATTCAGGGTTGATGTCATTTAGGATTGACTAGTTTGATCTTCATACTGTCCAAGGGACTCTCAAGAGTCTTCTCCAATACCACAATTTGAAAGCATCAGTTATTTGGCACTCAGCTTTCTTTATGATCCAACTCTCACATCCATACATAACTACTGGAAAAATCATGGCTTTGACAATACAGACCTTTGTCAGCAAAGTGATGTCTCTGCTTTTTAATATGCTGTCTAGATTTGTCATAGCTTTCCTTATAAGGAGCAAACTTCTTTTAATTTCATAGCTGCAGTCACCATCCACAGTGATTTTGGAGTCCAAGAAAATAAAATCTGTCACTCCTTCCACTTTTCCCCCTTCTGTTTGCCGTGAAGTGATGGAACAAGATGCCATGATGTTTGTTTTTTGAATGTTGAGTTTTAAGCCAACTTTTTCACTCTCCTCTTTCACCCTCATCAAGAGGCTCTTTAGTTCCTCTTCACTTTCTGCCATTAGAATGGCATCATCTGCATATCTGAGGTTGTTGGTATTTTACCCGGCAATCTTGATTCCAGAGTGTAATTCATCCAGCCCAGCATTTCACATGATGTACTTACTATGCATATAAGTTAAATAAACAGGGTGACAGTATACAGCCTTGTCTCACTCCTTTCCCAATTTTGAACCACTTTCAGTAAGATTCTAACTGTTGCTTCTTGTCCAGCATACAGGTTTTTCAGGAGACAGATACAGTGGTCCGGTATTCCTGTTTTTTAAAGAGCTTTCCACAACTTGTTGTGTTCCACATAGTCAAAGGCTTTAGCATAGTCAATAAAGCAGAAGTAGATGTTTTTCTGGAATTCCCTAGCTTTCTCTATGACCCAATGAATGTTGGCGATTTAATCTCTGGTTCCTCTGCCTTTTCTAAACTCAGATTTTATATCTAGAAGTTCTCAGTTCATGCACTGCTGAAGCGTAGCTTGAAGGGTTTTGAGCATAACCTTACTACCATGTGAAATGAGTGCAATTGTATTGTAGTTTGAACATTCTTGGAGAAGGAAATAACAACCCCCTCTAGTATTCTTGCCTGGCAGGCTACAATCCATGGGGTCACAAAGAGTTGGACACGACTGAGCGACTTCACTTTTGAACATTCTTTGGCATTGCCCTTCTTTGGGACTGGAATGAAAACTAACCTTTTCCAGTCTTGTGGCCACTGCTGAGTTTTCCAGATTTGCTAATATATTGAGTGCAGCACTTTAACAGCATCATCTTTTAGGATTTGAAATAGCTCAGTTGGAATTCCATCACCTCCACCAGCTTTGTTTGTAGTAATGCTTCCTAAGGCCCACTTGACTTCATACCCCAGGATGTCAAGCTTTAGGTGAGTGACCACACCATCGTGGTTACCCATGTCATTAAGACCTTTTTTTGGTACAGTTCTTCTGTGCATTCTTGCCACCTCTTCTTAATAGCTTCTGCTTCACTTAGGTCCTTACCATTTCTGTCCTTCCTTTATTGTGTCCATTCTTGCATGAAATGTTCCCTTGATATCTCAATTTTCTTGAAGAGATCTCTAGTCTTTCCCATCCTATTGTTTTCCTCTATTTCTCTGCATTGTTCATCTCTCCTTGCTATTTATTCTCTGGAACTCTGCATTCAGTTGGTTATACCTTTCTCTTTCTCCATTGCTTTTCACTTCTCTTCTTTCCTCACTGTTTGTAAAGCCTCCTCAGACAACCATTTTGCCTTCTTGCATTTCTTTTTCTTTGGGATGGTTATGGTTACTGCCTCCTGTACAATGTTACAGACCTCTGTCCATAGCTCTTCAGGTATCCGTGTCTATCATATTTAACCCCTTGAATCTATTTGTCACTTCCACTGTATAATCATAAGTGATTTGATCTAGGTCATACCTGAATGGCCTAGTGTTTTCCCCCTACTTTCTACAATTTAAGCTTGAATTCTGCAATAAGGAGCTGATGATTTGAGCCACAGTGAGGTCTAGGTCTTGTTTTTGCTAACTGTATAGAGTTTCTTCATCTTCTGCTGCAAAGAATATAATCAATCTTATTTCCATAGTGACCATTTGGTGATGTCTGTGTATAGAGTCGTCTCTTGTGTAGTTGGAAAAGGTGTTTGCTGTGAGCAGCATACTCTCTTGACAAATCTCTTAGCCTTTGCCCTGCTTCATTTATACTCCAAGGCCAGACTTTCTTGTTATCCCAGGTATCTCTTGACTTCTTACTTTTGCAACCCCCTATGATGAAAGAACATCATTTTTGGTGTTAGTTCTAGGAAGTCTTATAGGTCTTCATAGAATGGTTCAACTTCATCTTCTCCAGCATTAGAGGTTGGGGTATAGATTTGAATTACTGCAATGTTGAATAGTTTGCCTTGGAAATGAACCAAGATCATTCTGTCATTTTTGTGATTGCACCCAAGTACTACTTTTCAGAATGTTTTGTTGACTATGAGGGCTACTCCATTTCTTCTAAGGGATTCTTGCCCACAGTAGTAGATATAATGGTCATATGAATTAAATTTGCCTATTCCTGTCCATTTTAGTTAAATGATCCCTAAAATGTCAATGTTTACTCTTACCATCTGCTTGACCACATCCAATTTACCTTGACTCATGGTGTGCTGCAGTTCATAGGGTCACAAAGAGTTGGAGACACCTTAGCGACTCAATAGCAACAACAAATGGATCTAATATTCCAGGTTCTTATACAATATTGTTCTTTACAGCACTGAAGTTTACTTTCACCACCAGGCACATCCACAACAGAGCACCATTTCCCCTTTGGCCCAGCTGTTTCATTCTTTCTGGAGCTATTAGTGATTGCCCTCCACTCTGCCCCAGTAGCATATTGGATACTTTCTGACCTGAGGGGCTTATCTTCCGGTGTCATATCTTTTTGCCTTTTCATACTGTTCATAGGGTTCTAATGGCAAGAATACTGGAGTGGTTTGCCATTCCCTCCTCCAGTGGACCACTTCACTGTGACCCATCTATCTTGGGTGGCCCTGCATGGCACGGCTCATAGCTTCATTGAGTTATGCAAGCCCCTTTGCCATGACAAGGCTGTGATCCATGAAGGGGAATCAATTATGCTTTGGGTTAAAAATTAAAAGTAGGACAGAGCAAGGAGTATTACAGTTTTTAGTAGTAGTTAGGAAATTTTCTCATGGAGAAATATTTGAAGGAGAGGATGGAGGAAACAATGTGGATAATGGGGTGAGAGTGGTCCAGACAGAGAGAACAGTCCGTGCAAAGGAACTAGAACCAGAACAAGAGTCTGAACTGTTCATTGAACCGAAAAGAAGAGAGTGTAGCAGAAACAGTGGGAGTGAGAGGGAAGTCGGAGACAGATCAGGCTCAGATTGTGAGAGCTTTGAGGGCTAACAAGAGGACTTTGGTCCTTATTCAGAGTGAGATGGGAACATTAGGGAGGTTTTAAACCCCCTTAACAGGATCGATTTAAATGTTTAGTAGACATAGTCTCCCAAAAGTCTGTGTGCAGTTTTAAGTTAATAACCTCAGAAGTAAATATACCACAAACTTAACAGAAGACATCATTTGAAAGTTCGATAAATTCAGTTTCTTTGAGGCATATGTAACTTTGTGAATTTTGAGTGACATATTTTTTTCATTTTAATTTTTTGTGGTCAGTGCTTACCATCGTCAATCAGAGGAGGAAAAAGGAAGAGTTCAGACTTAAAATGTAGTATTCAGAATTGGCAGAACTACATCCATGTCAGAGAAAGTTCATTTTCAGACCATTGGTAGGTGTCTAGCATTGATGTTGGTGAGGCTGTTCAGCTTCAAAGCTGCACCAAGGTAATTTAGGATACCTGCTTATTGGCTGAATGAGTGCAGGAACCAGGAAGTTGGTAGCTCAGGAGGCCATCACCCTAGCAAGTTATTTTCTCTGTGTACCTCTTTCTCCCCCTCTTGTATGACCCCCAGGAGCCTCCACTGTACCTGCATCTGGCCTGCCTCGGACAGGTAGTGACCCCGTGATACTAAAGACCCCAGTTCCCTTAGAGTCAGTTGCTGACAGTCTCAGGGCCTCTGATGGGCAGCTTCATGCCAAGGCCCCAACCAAGCCACCTCGAACACCTTCACTGCTGCTGCCTGATGCCTCTGGACGCCCCCCGACGTACTGTGAGCTGGTGCCCCGAGTGCTCAGGGTCCAAGGACCGCCCCCTGGCCACAGCTGCCCAGAGTCAGAGGTGCCCTGGTGGGAAGCCGAGGAGGAGAAAGAGGAGGACAGATGTTTTGCAAGACCGCAGGCTGAGGTCTCTTTCTGTCTCCCTGACACCCCCTCCTGCCTGCTGGGGTCCCAGAATCGGCCTCTGGAACCCGAAGTCTTGCATACTCTCCGTGGCCTGTTCCTGGCACACCATCCTGGGAGCACAGCTCTCCACTTGCTATTGATAGACTGCCAGGTGGGTCCCCTACCAGGTCTTCCCTCCCCGGGTAGGGCCTGAAGCCAGGGCATGACCCAAACCCACCTCACACCCACAGACTCACTCTGCTCCTTTAACGTCCCTACTCTTACCCCCGCGCCCCATCGCCAGGCCACAGGCGTCCTGGGAGTGACCAAGGCGCAGCGGGGCGCCATGGGGGTCGCCTCTGGTCTGGAGCTGCTCACACTTCCCCACGGGCATCTCTTAAGGTTGGAATTGCTGGAGAGGTGAGCCAGCCACCTGAAATCCCCAGGGTCTTCAAACCTCCTCCCATTCCCGGTTCCCCAGGGAGGAGGGGAATGGGCAATGCCGCCGACTGTCCCTCCTCACCCCGACATCACAAACCTCCCCACTGCCCCCAGACCCTTGCCCTCCGCCTCTACAGGCTCGAGACGCTGGCGTTGGCGGGGGCTCTGGCAGTGCTGGGCTGCGCAGGGCCGCTGGAAGAACGCGCGGGCGCCCTGAGGGGCCTGGTGGAGCTGGCCGTGGCGCTGCGGCCAGGGGCGGTGGGGGACCTGCCCGGACTGGCCGCGGTGATGGGCGCCTTGCTCATGCCCCAGGTGCGTGGGAAGCAAGGGAGGAGGCAGGTGATGGGGAAGAGTGGAGGGAAGTAGGGCTCAGGTCTCTTCCTCCAGGTGACGCGTTTGGAACGCACGTGGCGCCACCTGAGAAGGAGCCACACGGAGGCTGCGCTGGCCTTTGAGCAGGAGCTGAAGCCGCTGATGCGATCGCTGAATGAGGGCGCCGGTGAGTGGCGGCTTTCGAGTGATAAGCCTAACCAGAATCTGGATTCAGCCCTAAGCCCCGCCCGCCCGTGTCTTAGTCCCCGCCCCTGGGTCTCTCCTAGGCCGCGCCCCCTGCCTAGGCCCGGCCCCTGACTCACATCTAGCAATGCGCTAGGCTCTGGCCTCCCGGTCTCGCGACGAACCCTTGCTTCTGTCCCGGGCTCCACCTCGGTCTTTCGAGCCGCCTGCTCGTTCGGTCCTAGGCTCCGCCCCTTAATCGAGGCTCCGCCCCTCGCACCCTTTCCCCCGCCCTCTACGCGAGACTCTGCCCTGGACCCAATCCCTGGGCGGACCTGCTCTAGGCTCCGCCCCGGCTCTAGGCCACACCTTGCCCTCCTCCGGTCCCGGCTGGAGCCTGCGTGTCTGACCCAAACCCCACCCGCTGCCCTGTCCTAGGGTGCCCTGGCCCCAGTTTATGTTGGTCCTCTTCACCCTAGGACCCACACCTCACCCCTAGCCCAGCCCAGACCCTTCCCCCAACAGGACCCAGCGATCCCGGCGAGGTGGCGCTGCCGCACGTGGCACCCGCGGCGCGCCTGCTGGAGGGTGAGGAAGTCCCGGGGCCCTTGGACGAGAGCTGCGAGCGGCTGCTGCGCACTCTGCACCGGGCGCGTCAGACGGCCCGGGACGCACCCAGGTTCCGCGAGGCGGCGGCGCGGCGCCTGCGAGGTGAGCGCCTCCCATTAGAGGGGTTGCTAGAGGATCCCCACTTTAGAAACAACCTGCATGCTCCAGCGCGGTAACCCCCAAACCCACCGGGCCAGAGACTGGACTCCTGTCACGCCTCCCAGAGTCCCACCCAAACTGGGCGGGCCCCGGTCCCAGGGGTGTTCTCACCTCAACACACGCCACCACCACCTGCAGCGTTGATGGGCACAGCGCCCTCTGCCCCTCAGAGCCATGCCCACAGGGCCCCACCCCCACTTTCCCAGCTGGGAAGGTCCTACCCCCAGAGGGTCTCAATTCTCCGCAGGAATGTGCAGCTCCCTCCAAAATGAGCCAGACCATCACTCTGGCAGGATAGCGCCCCCCCTGTACTCAGAACCACACTTCTGTCCTGGGGCAGCCCTGCCTCCGGAATCCCCCACCTGGGGGTTTCCTTAAGACCCTTCTTCTTCCAACACGGCCCAACCTCCTCCTCCCAAGTTTGTCGCGCAGGGTGGCCCCAAATTCCTCCCTCAAGGCAGCTCCTTCTCCAGGTTCTACCCCTAAAGTAGGGGGCGCCCTGATGTGGCCCCCGGAACGGACTGGCCCCCATGCACCTTGGCAGAGCCCACATCGACCAAGCCCTTCAGCCACCCCCCACCCCAACTCCTGCAGACCCCTCCCCAGCTAACCCTGCCTGGTTGTTCAGATAATCTGGGGCAGAGTCCCTCCTGGGTCAAAGTCCAGAGGGAACAAGGCAAGTGTGGGAGGAGCAAGGCAGGTGCCTGGGCCCCACCCCCAGCTCACCTGGCCTTGCCCCCAGGATTCCGGCCCAACCCGGAGCTGACAGAGGCCCTGACCACTGGCTTCTTGAGGAGGTTGCTCTGGGGGAGCCGAGGGGCTGGGGCACCATGGGCCACACGACTCGAGAAGTTCCAACGTGTCCTCAGCGTCCTCTCACAGCGCCTGGAGCCTGACCCTTGAAAGCACAAACCCCTTTCTCATGCTGGGATACCCAAGCATCTGGGGACCCCTGATGGAGACCTAGGAAGCCACCCAAGTTTCTTCACCCAGCCAAATGCAGTGGGCACCTGCACCCAGCCGCACAGAAGGAGAGGACCGGTTTGCAAGAACCCACCTTGCACCCTAAAAAGGCATGTGGATCCTGGGAGTGGGCAGCTCCTGCCTTACTCTGTACCCCCCGCCCCACCCCTACCTGACAAGTGGTGGACATGTGTCTCTTAATGTTAAAGATAACTTGAAGATCTCTCTGTAAGAAGCCAGATTTCAATGTTTTAAAACCTGTGTGACTTCTATCAGATCACTTGACCTCTCTGTGCCCAGTTTTAATAAAAAAGTGAGACTGTACTTTCTAGAGGTTATCATGGGGATGAAAACTCAACGTTTGAATGAGCTCCTGGGTGGAGAATGCCCGGCACACAGTAGGTGCTCAGCAGATGTGAGCTGCAGGGAACACCAAAGAGGTGACATCCAGCACCCTCCTCCCTACCGGAGTCACAGACAAGCAGTGGACTCCCAGCAAGGGGCATAGTTTGTCCAAGGTGTACCCAGGTTCATCGCCACCTCCTCATTCCCCGCATGGCCCTTAAGGAGGGTGGTGTTTGAATATCCAGCCCCAGAATCCAAACCTGCTAATAAGCCACAGACTCCAAGAGTTTTTCATCATTTTTTATATAAAACAAAATGACCCTAGCCGAGCGGCAGGAAGAAAAAAGATTTGAAACATGAGTATGTACATCAATGGTAGAAGGCACAGCGGGTCCATCTCGGGAGAGGAGTGAGGGGGTGGGGGTGGGGGGCAGCAGGTTACACAGGTCTCAGCCAAAGCCACGGGGGCAGAAATAAAGTGCGTAGGTCCTGGGGCCCCCCGTGGCCCAGAAGCAGCAGCCAACAGCCCCCCTCTTCCCGCTTCCAGCAGGGTTCAGTTGAGCATGACGCGGAGGTAAGAGGTGGGCACATAGCCCTCACCTCCCTGTTTCCGCCTGACTCGGGTCCACCCATCGCCTTTGTCCTCTTCCATGAGACTGAGGTCCTCGCCCTCTGCCATAGAGATGGTGCCCTCGCTGGACCCTGTCACAGAGCGGCAGTGGGCTCAAGTCCACTGGAGGCGGATCTCAACAGAGCCCAGCCCCAAATGCCACCCTCCCCTGCCCCCCGCCCCCACCAAAGTCACCGATGTACCACCCAAACTGTCCATACCTTCAAAGTGGTAGATGGCCACACAGTGACCGATGGGGGAGGCGGGCTCCTCCTCAAATTCCTCATCAAACTCCGTGTAGATGGGGGCGTCCTGACCCTCCTCAGAGGGGGGCTCTTCAGAGCTGGTTGAAGAAGGCAAAGCAGTAAGAAGAGGCACCCCTTACCAGGTCTGGGGTCTGGGGACAGACCCACCCTGGCCTGCTTGCACACCTCTCCTTGTTCTCTTGAGATCCATTGTTGCTGTTGCTGCTGCTGTCCGGCGGCGCGCTGGCTGGGGGGTCTGGAGGCCGGGTGTGCCGGCCCAGGGTGTCTCCCCGGTTGCTTAGGACCCGGCTCTCAGCTTCTGCCAGCCAAGCCTGAAAGGAGGGGACCGCACACTCAGCTCCAGGGCCAGGCTCTGGGGTCAGCCCACTCTGGGCCTGGAGGTTTCCTGAGATCACCCATGTACACCAGAGGCCATGATGAGAAACAGCTGGAGCCCCCACCTACACCTCCCTGTCCCTCTTTCTCCCCCTCCCCACCAGGCAGTGACTCAGCCAGGCCTGCCGGCCCCGCCTCTCCCCAGGGTCTGCCCTGACCTCATACTTCTGTACTTCCAGTTTCAGCCGTTCGATGTTGTTCAGGGTTTCCGTGATCCGGGGTTCCAAGCTGGCTGGGTCTCCCATCTGGGGTGTCTTTTCATACACATCCTTCATTTTCTTCAGGGCCTCCCTAGGGTGAGACAGATGGAGGAGAAAGAAATCCATGTGATTTAACAAACAAAAAAAGATGGGCTTTGCTTCAGGGAACTCAGCCAGTGCTTCATAGCCTGGATTCAAATCCCAGAGCGGGCATTTCCTAGTTGTTCCAAAACCGTGTCTCAGTAGGCTTGTCTGTGAAAGGAGAATAATGGTATCTATATGTGTTGTGAAGATGAGAGCAGTGCCTTTACTGGAGTATAACTATACTGGAGTATAGTTGCTGTACAATGTTGCGTTAGTAAAGTGAATCAGTTCACATGTATACAAATATCCCCTCTTTTTTGGATTTCTTTCCCATTTAGCCCACCACAGTGCATTGAGTTGAGGTCCCTGTGCTATACAGTAGGTTCTCGTTAGTTATCTATTTTATACGTAGTAGTGTATATAGGGGGCTTCCCAGGTGGTGCTAGTGGTAAAGAACCACCCATGCAAGAGATGCAGGACATGAGGGTTTGATCCCTGGGTCAGGAAGATCCCCTGCAGAAGGAAATGGCAACCCACTCCAGTATTCTTGCCTGGAAAATTCCATGGACAGAGGAGGCTGGAGGGCTACAGTTCATGGGGTCGCAAAGAGTCTGACATGACTGAGCAATTAACACTTCCAGATTTTCACACTGAGTGCGTACGGTATACCAGAAACCCACTCTAGGCATTAGAAATACAGCAGTAAACAGAACTATGTGGATCCCACCTCTCAGGTAGGATACACATTGTCTCCTATGTGTATCAGTCTGTCAGGAAAACAGGAATTCTAATGATCCATGTAAGGAGTTAGAAACTCTATAAATGCTAGGTATTATTATTATCATTAGTCCCCCGTCCCTGCTTCCTCCATGTCTATACATACAGATGGTAATCATTACATGCATATCTGATGCACATAGAGATGAGGAAACTGCAAAGAGCTAGTACAAAGGCCAGTCCATTTGGACTCCAGAGCATGCACCCATAACCCCAATGTCATAAAAATCTCAGGAATGGGGACTTCTCTGGTGGTCTAGTGGTTAAGAGTCTGCACTTCCCCTGCAGGGGGCGTGGGGTCCATCCCTGGTCGGGAACCCAGGATGCTGCTCAAGGTGCAGCCAAAAATTAAAAAAAAATGAAACACTCAGGAACAACAATCAAATGGAACTTTACACCAATAAAAGCCATTTTGTACAAGGAGTTCTGTGCAAAACAGCAAAATATCATTTGGCTGCCTATCTGCAAGTGGCAAACGTCATTCTTATTATGTAAGAGGACTGGGAAGAGAATCTTGCTGCTTGGAAAGTATGAGTAAAGATTTTCTTTTTTTTTAACCGGCAAGGTTTTTTAATGGTAAAAATTTTAAAGTTTTTTGAGTTATTAAATGAAAAAAACCATATGCTTTTTTTCTTTTAGCCAAATAATGGAGTGAATAAGACTCATAAATGCTTTTTGATATTGAACCATCTTTGCATTACTGGTCTAACCCCACTGATCATGATTTTGTTTGTTTTTTTATTATTATTCTTTATTGTGGTATATACAAAATATAAAATTTCCCATCTGTGCTACTTTTAAGTGTACAGTTCTGTGGCATTAAATTCATTCATGGAGTTGGGCAATCACCATCACCACATGATGTAATACTGTTCTTAATACATTGCTGAACTTGGATTGGCTAGGATTTTGCTATCTAAGATTGTTAAGTTAGTTAAATAAATCCGTAATTTTATTTTCTTGAATTCTTGCTAACTTAGTTTTGGAACTGAGATTCCACCAGCCTCCTAAATGAACTGGCAGCTTTCACTCTTTTTTTTCCCCAATCTTTTTGGCAGCATGTGGGATCTTCATTCTCTGACCAGGGATTGAACCTGTGCCCCCTGCATTGGCAGCACAGAGTCTTAACCACTGGACCTCCAGGGAAGTCCCTTTCACTCTTCTGTTTCCTGGAATGACTTGTATAAGGTGGGAAGTAACTGTTTCTCCTACTTGCAGTTCACCTATAAACCCACTGGGGCCTGGGGTTTGTTAGAGAGGAGATCTTTGGGTACCATTTCAGTGTGATTTATTTATCCTTTCATCTTGTTCCTTACCTGCTCAGCCCTTCGCCTTACCTCTGGTCCATCTCCTTCTGTAGTTCACGGTTCCGTTCTTCCAGCTGCTGCTGCAGTCGCTTTCTCTGCTGCTCCGGGGGCAAGTGGCTGAAATCCTCAGTCACCACTGTCTGCAAGGTGGGAGAGGACTGAGTTCCGGAACACAGAGTTTGAGCTCCCAGGTCTAAGATAGGCCTAAGACACACCGAATCCACGTCCTCCCTGCCCAAGGTTCTCGGGCGGCAAGGCCATGCAGAGAGCAAAGCAGGTCCAGGTGGGGCCTTGGAAGGAGGGGGCCCAGCCAGCGGCAGGAAGCGAGCCCAGGGTCCCGCCACCCGGCCGCTGGGCGGGCTGGGGCTGCCCCCTCCTCCTCCCCCAGAGGCCTCACTTACCCCACGGCTGCCTCGAAGGCTGCGGAAGGATGCTAGCCGCGGTTTGACCGACTTACTGATCTCGCTCAGTATGGCCAAGGGGTCGAGGCCGGAGCGGGGGGATGGGGGTCCATTAGGTAATGCCGAGGGCAGGGGGCCCCCCAGGGGGGAGAGAGGTGGGGGACACGGCTACCGGCAGGGGTCAGGGAGGGCATGGGTCAGAAGGGTCGGGAGGATGTAGAGAACAAAGACGGATGGACGGACGGACGGACGGCGGATGGACGCAATAAAGAAAAAAGAAAAAAAAAAAAAAAAACCAAATGGAGAAAAGAAAAAAAAAAGTAAGAAAACCACAACTCAAGATGCACAATCACACACACAGAAAATGCATGCAAAGAGCAACACAAAAAATCTGGGAGGTGGCAGGAGGGCATTAGATTGTGAGCCAGAAGGCTAGACCTCTCCCCCTCTACCCCCCAACACTTCCCACCTCCCTTGCATCCTCTGTCGTTTCTAGAATGGAGCCTGGGGGCACAGGGAGGCCCATATTTCTCTACCCCACCCCCACCTCCAGCTTTCTGGGCTCACAGTCTAGAAGGTGGAGGGTGAGGCATGCAGAAATCAAGATCTCAGACGAAAATGGGGCCATAGATGTCAAGGGTAAGCTAAGAGAAGGGTCAAAGGCATGAAATACCAAAAGGGCTATAGCCGGGGTTTAAGCTAGGGGATTCAAAGTATATGTCGACGGGGATGGAAAGTATGAAACAGGAGTCAAAGGTATAAATTGGGCAGAGGAGGGTGTTGTCAAAGGTATAGACCAGGGTGTCCTGGTTATGTGCCTGACATTGAAAGCCAAAAATCCCAAGAAAAACCAGCCTGAGGGTAGGGGGCCCAAAGACTCATCAGAGGGTTGAAGAGACTCAAGGGGAGTCCCTAGGGCTGGTGTCTCAAGCCCTTACCCAGCCCTGAACCCCAAAGCAGGTCTCTTCTCTCAGCCTCCTGAGAAGCAGCAGACAGACGCCACAGGCCCTCCCCTGTCAATCTCCCCCCCTACCCCCCCCAGCCTCAGGGGACTCCCAGACCAATGGCCCAGCCGCCTTCCTTCCCTTCAGCCGGGCCAGCAGCCAAGAGGAAAATTCCTGCCCGGGACTCAGCGTCCCGGCGGCTGGGGCTGACTCAGTGTGGGCCCCTGCTGTCCCCACTCACACCCAGCCCTCCACCCTGAGGGCCCTGGCCCCCACCTTGTTCTTCTTGCCGAATGGCCAGCGCTTAGCCCGGCTGCGGCTCGCGCCTCGGAGCTCTGGCCGTCCATCGGAGGGGGTACCCAGGCTGCTGTCCGAGGGCACTCGGTTCATGGGCTGGCTGAAGTCTTCGAATTCCACGTCACCCGGACGGGCAAAGCCTGACTTGTGCAGCTCAATTAGGACCTGGGAATCCTGGGGATGGTGAGGGGCAATCAGTAGCAAGACTGGGGGCCAAGCCTTCGGACTCCTACTTCTGCACACCACCCCCAACCACTGCTTGCCCCCATTGGTCCACTACCAGGACCAGGCACCCACGTTCTTGGCATTCACAGCATCTGCGGCCACCTTCATGCCCTCCAAACACTTGGCGATGATGGGCACCACCTCCAGCTCAGTCTCTGAAAGCAGCCCGTAACCAGCCCCCAGGTGGGTGGCCCGCCGCTCGTCCATGTCCTGCAGCTTCTGTAGAGATGGGGGGGGGGGGGGCACGGTTCTCAGGGGCATTGATCGAGGGGCTGGTGGCAGAGTGATTCCCTCCTGAACACAATGGAGCCCCACACTGACCACAGTCCTAAGCCCAGTAGCAGGGAGAACACAGAATTGAACACAGAGACTTCCAGCCCAGTGTGGTCAGGGGAGAAATTTCGGAGGCCAGGGAGATGTCAGAGAGGAATTTGAGGCCCTCCCTTTGCCTAGGGAGTCAGGAAAGGCTTCTCAAAGGAGGTGAAAATGGAAGCTGGAAGGGACTTCCCTGGTGGTCCAATGGCTAAGGCACTGCATTCCCAATGCAAGGGGTCCAGGTTCAGTCACTGGTCAGAGAACTAGATCCCACATGCTGCAGCTAAGACAAGGTGCAGACTAATTAATTAATTTAAAAAATATACTAAGAAAAAAACAGAGCCAGGAATTTCAAGAAAAAAGCAGACCCAACACAGATACTGCCAGTCTCAGGGTTGGGATAGAGAGTAGAATACAGGGCTGAAACAGACGGGAAATTTGAGATCTTTCAGAGGGTTTGTTAGAATTGGAGCTTGGAAGAATGTAGGAATTACAAAAGGAAAGAATGACACCCCTGGCAGAAAGAACAGCTTGAATAAAATCAGAGAACACTTTGACTATTTGGTTCTAACTCCTTTTCAATTTAAAGATTAGGGCATTACAGCTGGGGTTTTGACAAATGTGTAGGAGTTGGTTAATTCTGGGTTTCCTAGGGAAGGTGGGACTCGGGGTTTGTAGCACTCACATCAAATATCTGAGGCATCTGGGAAAAATAGAAGTGAGACTGGTCACGGTTGAAGCGCTGTAGTTGGGCTGCATACTCATTTTTGCTTTCTTCTGCCATGTGACTCCGAAGGTGGGCTTGTTGTTTGGCCTGAGGAATATCGAGGTGGGGGGAGGGTCATAGCCCAGTTCTGGCCTTGCCTAACCCTGACCCCCAAGCCTGTCTCAGACCCCACAGGCACCTTCTCCACATCAGCCTTGGTGGCGTTGATATCCTGGTCAAGCCTCTCAGCGGTCTGGGCTGCCTTCTCAGCCTCCCGGCAGTCCCGTTCAAATTTACGTTTACTCTGTGTTGAGGACAGAATTGGAGTGAAGGAGCCACCTGCCATGGTTTCAGGGACTGGGGGGAAGTCACCCAGCAACTGGGAGTCGGGGTGGGAACAACAGGCAGATTGGAAACCCACAGGAGAGGAGGGATCCAGGCCAGACGAAGTGAATCGACAACCCTCACCCAGCTGCTCGGGGCCAGAGACTTGCTTCTCCACACCCACAGACTCACATTCTCCAGCTGCTTGAAGCCACTTTCCAGCTGCTGCTGGGCCCGACGACCTTCTTGGAAGTGCTATGGGAAGAGGGGGCGATAAGGCTCACCCTGATGTCAGGGGACCCTCGGGAAGCCCCAGAGAAGGGATCACCCACCATCTTTCTCTCCTGTTTCATCTCCTGCGAGTACTTGGCCAGCTCAAGACATACACGCACGCTGAGGTTCTCAGCCACCAGCTCCCGCTGGCCAGCAAAATCATTCACCTCCTGCAGAATCTGCACAAAGGACTGTTGCTGGCTGAACCTGGGGTGGGGTGGAGGAGGGATAGGGGCTGGGGGTCAGGACCCCCAGGAGCCACATGCCCCCAGACCCACCTCCATATGAGAAAGCGTGAGCCCCAAAATATTCACCCCAGAAATGACAATACATTCTGGCCCACACCCCCAACCCTGGAGGGGGACACAGAAACTCAGAATTCTCAGAATTTGGGGAGGTCTTAGAAAGGGGATACGATGCTTACACCATCTTTTTGCATCACCCTTGTGGTGTCAGTAGCAGCATCATATAATCAAATACTATAAATGCTTTTGCAAGAAGCATTAGTATTCACATAAGTGAGATAAAATCCAACAAGACCCTAATGAACTTAATTAACTTCATGTCAGTTCTGGTCTTGAGATTGCCTCCAAACAAGCGACCAGAAAATCTTTTGCTTTCTAGAGCTTTGGGGGGTTTCTGGAACTGGAATAAAGTGAAATGGGCCAGGCATTGTTTTAACACACTATCTTAATCTTCATATGAGCCCCTACAAGGACATCGTCATCCCCAACTCACAGGAGAGGAAAACCAAGGCTCACACCATGAGTCACTTGCCCAGAGTCACTCGTTTAGTAACTGTGGGAGCCTCTCCCATTTAATAGGCGAGGGAAACGGAGGCTGAGAAAGAAGTCAAGTGGCCAAAGCAGTTCAGCTGGAAAGTAGTGGATTTAGAATTCCAAGCCAGGTAATTCGGTTCCTGCATCCAAGCTCATGCCTCTAGGTGGAACTGGGGTGAGAAGTGAGGGATCTGTTTGCAGGGAGCCCAGCTTGAGAGAGAGAGGAAGTGGGTCCCATACCCCCTGCCCTCCCAAATCTAGCCCTGTATCCATCCGGTGTTCGTTCTTACTTGGATTCAGGGTCATCTTTGGCAGGTCTTTTGGGCATGTATTTTTTCACCAGGCTCCTACGGAGAGAGGCAGGAAGGCTGAGCCCCCAGTCCTCCAACCGCTCCCCTTAACCCCAGGAGGCGGCCACCCTAGGGTCTCACCGCAGCTGCTTTGCATAAGCCTGCTCCACCTCCGTCCTCTCTTTCACGAACTTCACGTATCTGTCCAACAGGTCCAGACCCCACTGCGTGTGCCGCTCGAGTACCTCAAACTGATCCTAGCAGGGAGATTGGGAGGACCAAGGTCAGGACCCGGGGACCCCACAGCTGCCGACCCAGCGGCAGGGGAGCCTCCCGGCTCTGAGCTTCAAGAAGGAGTGGCTTCCCGGCCCCGCCCCGGAGCGGCGCGGGGGGAGGCAGGAAACCGGCGGGAACCCCCTCCTCTTCCCGGGAAGGGCCAGAGAACTGGGGCGGGGCCCCAGCCGGACTACAGGGTCCCCTCTCCAGGCGCCCAGGAGGGGTGTGGAATGGGGCAAGGCCACTCCCCCTGCCCCAGGTCCCCTAATCCCCCCAGATTCCGGAAAATCCGGCCGGCCTGGCGTGAGTCAGGGCCAGAGGGGCAGGGTTCCCTGCAGCTTGGGGGGGCCCCAGAATGGCCGGAGAGCGGGCATCAGGTTCCCCCGGTCGCCACGCTTCCCAGGGTCCCCCCAGGGGCGACTCAGTTTTCCTCACTGACTCCACTTTACCTCCAAAAGAAATCCCAGAGTTGGGGGGGGGGGACGATCTAGTTAACCCAGGGCTCCCAGAAACCCAGGAGTGCCACCGCCCCCAGAAAGAGGAGGGGTCAGAGGTTCCGGCTAGGAAATGGGGAAAAAATGCTGGGGCTTACAGGGCAGAGGTTCGAGGCGATTGGTGGCGGCCCCTCCCAGTACCTAAGGAGGGCTGGGGGAGGGGGCTGAGGCCAAGGCTCGCAGCCCCCTCCCCCCTACAGCGTCCCAAGCCCTAATTGTAGATTAGAGGCGACGTGAAGGCGGTCTGGACTTCCAGGTCCCACGTGGGGTTGGAAGTGGCCAGAGGGCCCCCTCCCCCGCCCCAGCCGGACAGGCGGACGGCGGGCAGGGACCCAGGGGCCGTAAGATAAGCCGCCGGCCCAGTCAGGGCGCTCAAAATAGGTGACCTCTCCCGGCTGCTCAGGCCTGGTCCCAGGACTTCTTCTACCCTCCTCACTATGAACCCCGTACCTCAGTTTCCCTACGCGGCTCCTGAAAGGTCGCCCTCTGCTCAGGGGCGTCCTGAACCGCCCTGGGAAACTCCGCGGAGAGAGGGGATTCCAGGGGTCGGTGGAAGGGAACACGCAGAGATCCCGCTGGGGTACTGCAGGGGCAAATCGTGGGTCTGGACCCCAGGAAGGGAGGAACTTGGAGTCAAGCGGAACGGACTCACCCACAGTTCGGTGCCCCAATCCATGCTGCTCCAGCCGCGGCCGACGCCTCCGCCGCACCCGGTCCCTGCCGCCCGCCGCCGCCGGGAGACTCAGCCCAGGGCTAGGAGCCCGACCCCGCCCCGCTAAGGCCCCGCCCACTTCAGGCTCTGCCACGCCCCATACACTCTGCCACGCCCCCGCACTCTCGGAGCCCTAGCGCGGCCCCCTGAAAGCGAGACCCCCCCTCCAAGGAGGCGGGGCCCAACGGACGCCCCCGCCCCTTCTTAAAGAAATGCGCGCCACTGGACAGACCCCTTAAAGGACCCCCATCCATTTTCCAGATCCCCTGGGACCCTTTTGTCCACCCCATCCCTGCCCCGCCCTGGACGGTTTTTCTTTTCCTCTTTCCTTTCAATCATTCATTAAAGGGCCAAGACACTAAAACCCCAACCCAAGAGGTTTCCCCCCAACTCCATCGCAGCGAGAACTGAGGTCACCCCGCTCTTGAGGGCCGGCCTGGCTCCAGACGTCTACGTTCGTCCCACTAATGGTCTGGCCCCTCCGGCCACAGGGCGGATGGGAGGACTTCGATCCTGTCCAGGACGCGCCTCCGCCAAGGCCGGGTCCATTAGCGCCCCCACCGCATCCTGCCTCCCTCCCTAAAGTCTACGCCGGGAAACTGAGGACGGGCTGTCCTTGGGGCGCCAGGCCCAGGCCTTTCCTCGGCTCCCGTACAGTTTGAGCTTGCACCTGCCCGTTTCCCAGTCTCATCCATTAAGGCCCAATCAGGTTTAATAATTTGCACAGATCCTAGGATTCCTACTCCACCACTCCCCTGCTCCTCAAACCCTTGGGCTTGGAAGTCTGTCACCTCTCTCCTAAAAGTCAGTTCACACACTGTTAATCCCTTTGAGGCACTGGGATGAAAGGGGAGAGATAGAAACAGCAGCCTCCCCCCACTCCCATCCTATCCTGCCTTTGGTGCTTTCTCTTTGGTTACAGAGGTGGCAGTCGCCCTGCTGGGGCTGAGGGCTTTAGACCCTCTGACAAGTCAGGCTCTGATCCCTGTCTTCCAGGACACAAGAAGTACACAACACGTCTTGAATAGCTCCAGTAACCCACACTGGGACAGACAGCTCTGCAGGGACCTGGCCCCACCTGCTGGTGGCTTCCGAGTTAGAAAACTTCAAATTGCAAAATAGACTTGGGCTCCAGAGGTTAGATGGAGAAGGAAATGGCAACCCACTCCAGTACTCTTGCCTGGGAAATTCCATGGACAGGGGAACCTGGCAGGCTACAGTCCATGGGGTCACAAAGAGTCAGACACGACTGAGTTACTGAGCATGCATGCCAGAGGTTAGAGGGTCAGATTGAGTCAGAAACAGCCTGGAGTCTGGAACTCAGTGGCTCAGCCTGGGAGTTAGGGTCTCAACTGAAATTGGGATTCATCCCAGGTGGGCACCACAATTGGGATGGGACCTGACTGGGATCGGAGGTTTAGGAGAGGGGTGAGCCACCAGTCAAAGGCCTGGGACTCAAACGAAAGTCCACAGGTCTGTCCTAATCTGAGGTCAGGGCAGTCTTTACCTGAGATCTGTCTAGATGTAAACTCAGTCAGAGATTAAGGCTCAGTATAGGCTGAAAGTTGAAGGGAAGGCAGAGATGCGTTTCAGCTGAGGTCAGGGCTCAGCTGCAGGTAGGCCCTCAGCCTGGTGTTGGGGTTCAGCCTGAATCAAGATTGTCCTGGATTCTGGGGATGGGACTCCATCCAGTGGCCTCACTCCAAGATAGAAGCGTCCACCTAAGCCTGGTAACTCAGTCTGGGATCATAGGTCACTCCAGGGTCATGATTTAGCTTAGGGCCAGGTTTTGGCCTCTCGTTGGATCAGCAAGATTAGGAAAACAAGACAGGCTTTAGCAAATGCAAGTGTTTACCAAAAGCCCGAACTTTGGCTGGGAGCCACATCCCCAGGGGGGAAAGGGAAACTCTGTCCTTAGGGATACTGGGAGATGTAGTTTATTGAATGCTCCCATTGAGTTGTTTGCTGCCCCACCCCCTCCAACCTTGCGTTCTGGGTAATGTAGTTCTGAACGGATCTGTCAGTTAAGAGTGGGTGGAGGAATTCCGCCTCAGGGTAGGATATCAGATCCATCACAATTGGTTGGATGAACTGTTTATCAACTTACATCCGGGACAATCTTTCTAGTGATTGGTGGGTGTGAAGGCGGGGTTAAGCAATATTAGCATTCCCATTCGGGACTGGTGCTGTCTATTTGGTGTCTTACAGGGGGCGGGCACGAGAAGAGGCCATCGGTGATTGGCTGGGAGGGCTCAAAAAGCAGACGGGTCGGCGCCCACCGTGCGGCGATTGGCTCACCGGTAGGCGGGCCTGGGGGCGTCAGAGGCGGTGTCAAGGGAGGCGGTGACTCCAGAGATGGCAGTGAGCGAGAGGAGGGGGCTCGGTCGTGGGAGCCCCGCGGAATGGAGGCCGTGGCTACTTCTCCTGCTGCTGTTAGGCGGTTCCTCTGGACGCATTCACCGGCTGACGCTGACGGTGAGTCCCGCCGCGTGGCGGACTGGGGTGCGGGGCGCACCTTTGGCCCGGAGAAGCCCCTAGCTTGGAGTGGTCTCGTCCTACCTCCCCCGCTCCTTATGCGGGATGGAGAGGTCCAGCGCCCCCTGCTTCAGGCCAGGAGTGGTCTCGCCAGAGGATCCCCCTGAGTGGTTCTTTTGAAGTTGCCTAGCCTGCGGCGCTGAGGTCGTCCCTTGCCCACAGCGGGTGGGACTTCACCTCTGGGGACCCAGGACTCTGAGGCCTTTAAATTCTTGGGATCGCTTTGGGGCTGCTAGGAACCCTTGACGCCGTCCAGGGAAGTCCCTAGGGGTTCTAGAATGGGGGTACTAATTGGGATCTTGGGGACTCAGTTGGAATCTAAAAATTTTCCGAAAAGTGAGAGCCAGGCTCCCCAAGATGCGTAACTCTGCTTTACGGGTGATGCTCACCTCGTAGGGAGAATTCCACGTAACCCAGACCTTCTCTTCCTGGACTCTCCGAATGGTGGCCAGAGGATGCCGAGCCATTCTTGCTCACCTGGAATTGGTCTGGGGTCATGGCCCACAGGGGTGGCCTTCTCTTCCTCTCCTGTTACCCTTTGAACCTGTCCTAAATACAGAGATACCCGGAGGGGGCCGAAGCCCTTGGCGGAACCTCGTGCCAGAGCCCTGGGGCTGGGCTGGTGGGAAGTCTGAACTGTCTCTGTTTCCTTGGTCTCCGGCAGGGGGAGAAGCGAGCAGACATCCAACTGAACAGCTTTGGTTTCTACACCAACGGCTCCCTGGAGGTGGATCTGAGCCTCCTGAGGCTAGGCTGCCAGAATACAGAAGAGAAGGCCCCGCTGGTGAGGGGCTTTGGGGAATTTGCTGGAGGAGGGAGAAGTGCACGAGTTTCTGAGCCCACCCCATCCCCCCCAATTGAGGATTCACATCCTAGCTCTGCCTCACCCTTGTGATCTTGGGCAAGTCCTTTGGTCTCTCTGAGTTTCTATTTGCTCATCTGTAACTGAGGAATAATTTCTCAGCCCTAGTTCCTGCAGTCAAAATAAGAGGCTCTTGTTATTGAACACCCGCTGGGTACCCATACACTGCAAATCAATTTCCATGAGTCTGTTCTGTCATAGCCACCTTTCAGGATTCCTGTGAAAATATTACACCTGTAAACCGAATTTTTCAGGTGTTTGTACAGACTCAGAGGTATGTGGCTTACTCAGAGCCCCAGAGCTTGGATGTAGATCCAAGTGTGTTGGATTCCAGAGCCCAAGGCGGGCAGCCATAAACATTCTATTTATTTTTTACATCATCATTTTAAAATTGAGGGGGGCGGGGGCGGAGAAGAACCAGCGAAGGTCTCTTGGAGGAAATGACATCCCAGTCAAGTGGTTAGGAGTTAAAGGAAGAGGATTGGGGTGCTGGGGGCAAGTGGGGAAAGTCAGTGAATGCAGGATCTCCCCCTGAGTAAGTATTAAGGAAATTCGAGGTTATGTGTCTGTTGCCACTGATAGAGGTCCCTGCTGGTGTCCCTCACCTCATAGTCTCTTCTTTCCACTTACCAGGTGGGGTTCAGTCTGACCCGGGTGAGATCTGGCAGCATTCGCTCCTACTCAGTGAGTGGTAGGGGTGGAAGTGGGGAGAGAAGGGTGGAGGGGCAGAGGCAGCGGAAGGGGAGGGTTATCTGTCGGCCTCTGAAACTCAAAGGCCCCTGTCCTCTCCCAGAGAGGAAGGGAGAGACTCACCTTTGCCCCGGGGAAGGAGGAGGGGATGGGAAGGGAGGCAGGGTGGGACTGGACCAGTGGGTGGGGGTAACCAAAGCTCCCTACTGCCCACCCTCCAGAACCGGGACTCCCATGAGTGTCCTCTCCGGAAAAACAGTAGCAGCCTCCTGGTTCTCTTCCTCATCAACACCAAGGATCTGCAGTGAGTATGGGGGCTACCCTAAAGATCCATCACTGGGGTGTCCCTCGTTGTGATACCTATGTGAGCTGATCAGGTGGAATGAGAACCAGCCAGAAAGAACCTTTATGGCTTTGGAGAAAGCCACCCACTTTTGTTGTTGTTAAATTTTATTTATTTATTTATTTTTGGCTGCACTGGGTCTCTGTTGCTGCACATAGGCTTTCTCTACTGGTGGCAAGCAGAAGCTACTCTCTCTCTACTCAAGATGCTCTGGCTTCTCATTCCTATGGCATCTCTAATTGCAGAGCACAGGCTCTAGGGCATTTGGGCTTCAGTAGTTGCGGCAGGTGAGCTCTAGAACACAGGCTCAGTGGTTGTGGCGCATGGGCTTAGCTGTTCCATGGCTTAGGGGATCCTCCCAGACCAGGGATTGAACCCATCTCCCCTGCATTTGGCAGGTGGATTCTTTACCACTGAGCCACCAGGACAGCCCTCCCTGGTGGTACAGTGGATAAAAAGCCACCTGCCAGTGAAAGAGAGGCGGATTTGATCTCTGGATCAGGAAGATCCCCTGGAGTAGGAAATGGCAACCTGCTCCAGTATTCTTGCCTGGAGAATCCCATGGACAGAGGAACCTGGAGGGCTACAGTCCATAGGATCCCAAAAAGTTGGACAGAACTGAAGTGACTTAGCATGCACACACGACCAGGGAAGCCTGACAGCATTTTCTTATTAAATAAGGTGTACTTCAGTAGAATGAGTGACTCGGTGTCATGGGAAGTGACAGATAATCCCTGGTGCTGGCAACACAGGGATGTGGCAGCCATCTCGATGGATGGTGGCCAAAGGCTGCCACTTGATGACCACTGATAGAGCCCCCCCAGAGAGGAGACCCTGAAGACCCGAGTGGCCATTGAGTCCCTCAGCACAACTGGTATGCCTGACCTCAGCCTTCAGCCTCCCCACATTATCCCCAGGGTCCAGGTACGAAAGTATGGGGAGCAGAAAAAGCTATTCATCTCTGCCGGGCTCCTCCCAGAATCGCCTTCCGAACCAGGGCTCCTGAAGTCAGAGCACATGGTCACTCCCAAGGTGGACCACGGTGAGTCGGGCTGGGAGGAGTGGGTGGGCAGGGGCGCTCCACACATCCCCCCATCATTCTGCTGTCTGTCCATCTCTGATCTCACCTGTTTCCCCAGCAGGGACCACTGCTGCCCCCAACAAGGCCAAGTCGAAACCCACAGGGTCACAAGGGGACCGGCAGGTATGGGAAGCCAGGGCAGGAGGGAGGAAGGCCCCGCCCCCATAGGGGGCAGCTGATGCTCCATGGAGGCACTCTGTCCCCCCCAGGGTGTCAGTGGGAAGGACCAGGAGCTGGTGTTGGGCCTGGGCCACCTCAACAACTCCTACAATTTCAGTGTGAGTGTCCGGGGGTGCCTGCAGCCCCTCCCCTCTGCAAAGTGGGGTCTCCCCCAAGCTGAGGTCCCCCCTCCCCTCTGTCTGCCCCGCCTCTCAGTTCCATGTAGTGATCGGCTCTAGGGCCGAGGAAGGCCAGTACAACCTCAACTTCCACAACTGTGACAACTTGGTGCCAGGCCGGGAGCAGCCGTTTGACATCACGGTGAGTGGAGGGGGAGGGCAGTGGGTTCATGGAACCCTCGCTGCAGGCCAGGTACCCCATGTGCCTCAGGGAGACGGGAAATCTGAGGATCAGAAATGAGAGAACGGAACCTGGAGACTCACACTCAGGGCCCAGCACATCTGGAGCTAGCCTGCAATCCCCTGTCCCCCACTGCTCCCTCACCAGGTAATGATCCGGGAGAAGAACCCCGAGGGCTACCTGTCAGCGGCGGAAATCCCTCTTTTCAAGCTGTACATGGTCATGTCCGCCTGCTTCCTGGGCGCTGGCATCTTCTGGGTGTCCATCCTCTGCAAGAACACGTAATGCCCTTGACCCTGGGGGTCCCCCACCTCCTGTCTTCCCACATTCCCACCCCTGCCCCTGACCAATGCCCCCTCTCTTCTGTCCCTCATCTCCCCTCCCCCACCAGGTACAACGTCTTCAAGATCCACTGGCTCATGGCAGCCCTGACTTTCACCAAGAGCGTCTCTCTCCTCTTCCACAGTGTGAGAGTCTGGGGCCAGGAACAGTGTGGGGTGGGCTGGAGTCTCTGGGGCCAGGAAAAAGCCCCTACAAGCCACTCCCCAAATCCCTGCAGACCCTGGGCTGGAGAGTTCCATATGTCCATCCGAGTATCCATCCATTATATCACCATAGCCAGCTTTCCATCCAGCCCTTCTGACCAGCTGTGATGGCCCACCTTCCAGTCTGACTGTCCGTGGGCCCAGCTGTGACTGTCAACCAGGCCGACTGTCTAACTGTCCATCCATCCAACTATGATCTTCCCTCCATTGTCACAGCTGTGACTGTCTCTTTCTCTGTCCACTCGCCATCCTGATTGAAACCTTCCATTCCT